CTCGGCCTCCCAAAGTGCTGGGATTACAGGCTTGAGCCACCGCGCCCGGCCTAGGTGTTCTTAATGTCTTCTGTTTCTGGGTGCGATGGTAGAACTGGTTGGGCCAGATTACCGGTCTGGGTGGTGTCAGCTGATCCATCGAGTGCAGGGTCTGCAAAATATCTCAAGCACTGACTTTAGGTTTTACAATAATGATGTTACCCCAGGAGCAATTTGGGGAGGATCCAAAGGCTGCATGACCCTTAAATTGTAATTTCTAATCTTATAGCTAATTTGTTAGTCCTGCAAAGGCAGACTGGACCCTAGGCAAGAAGGGGGGTCTTTTTGGGAAAGGGCTGTTATAAATTTTGTTTCAGAGTCAAACCATGAACTGAATTGCTTCCCAAAGTTAGTTCAGCCTACGCCCAGGAGTGAACAAGGACAGCTTAAGGGTTAGAAACAAGATAGAGTCAGTTAGGTCTGATTTGTTTCACTGTCATAATTTCCTGAGTTATAATTTTGCAAAGGCGGTTTCACAGGGGTCGTTCTGTTGAGGAGGGGTGCCCCTCCTGAGGCTGGCTGAGGGAAGAGGTGGAAGGTTTGGAGGCTGGAAAGGAGAGTTCCCAGCTAATGGCTTCTATTTTCTCCAAAAAGTAGTAGGGAGATTTTTGCTGGGGGAGAGGGGCGGTGGAATGAGGGATTGAGAAGACTGGAGGCTTTTTTTTTTTTTTTTTTGAAACAGAGTCTCACTCTGTCACCCTGGCTGGAGTGCAGTGGCATGATCTCAGGTCACTGCAATGCCTGCCTCCTAGGTTCAACTGATTCTTCTGCCTCAGAATCCCAAGTGGCTGGGGTTACCGGCATGTGCCACTACACCTGGCTAATTTCTTTTTGTATTATTATTATTATTATTTTTTAGATGGAGTTTTGCTCTTGTTGCCCAGGCTGGATTGCAATGGCGTGATCTCGGCGCACTGCAACTTTCGCCCCCTGGGTTCAAGTGATTCTCCTGCCTCAGCCTCCTGAGTAGCTGGTATTACAGACATGCACCACCATGCCTGGCTAATTTTGTGTTTTTAGTAGAGACGGGGTTTCTCCATGTTGGTCAGGCTGGTCTTGAGCTCCTGACCTCAGATGATCCACCCACCTCAGCCTCCCAAAGTGCTGGGATTACGGGCGTGAGCCACCGCACCCGGCCCCTTTTTTTTGTATTTTTAATAGAGATAGGGTTTCACCGTGTTTCCTAGGCTGGTCTTGAACGCCTGGCCTCAAGTGATCTGCCCATCTCAGCCTCACAAAGTCCTGGGATTACAGGCGTGAGCCACTGTGCCTCAATGACTGGAGGCATTTGAAATGCCCTGAGGGGAATGGGCAGGGGACACAGAGAAACAGGATTCTTGGGCTGGGTGAGAGCCCAACTGAGGGTAGAGACCCTGAGTTTGCAGTAGCCCCAACCTACCCCAAAACAAGATGGCTATTGGGGTTTCCAGGCAGGTGTGATGGGAAAACCTGGAGGCAAGAAAGTTAGTGACAGGCTGGACTACTGGGGAGGATGGGAGGACTGGGGGGAAGAGGAGGACTTGAGGCCAGGGAAGAATCTGGAAGCCTTCTGTCTTAGTCCATTTGGGCTGCTATAACAACATATCTTAGACTGCATAATGTATAAACAACAGAAATTTATCAGCTGGGCGCGGTGGCTCACACCTGTAATCCCAGCACTTTGGGAGGCTGAGGTGGCTGGATCACCTGAGGTCAGGAATTTGAGACCAGGCTGACCAACATAGTGAAAACCCATCTCTACTAAAAATACAAAAAATTAGCCAGGCATGGTGGTGTGCGCCTGTAATCCCAGCTACTTGGGAGACTGAAGCAGGAAAATCGCTTGAACACCCCACACCCACGCCCCTCCCCCGCCAAAAAATAAAGGAAATTTATTGCTTATATTTCTAGGGGTTGGGAGGTCCAAGATCAAGGCATCAGCAGATTCGCCTGTTCCTCATACATGGGGCTTTCTAGCTGTGTCTTCTTGTGGCAGAAGTTGTGGACAAGCTCCCCAGGCCTCTTTTTCTTTTTGAGACAGAGTCTTGCTCTGTCGCCAGGATGGAGTACAGTGGCATGATCTTGGCTCACTGCAACCTCTGCCTCCAAACGATTCTCCCAACTCAGCCTCCTGAGTAGCTGGGACTACAGGCGCGTGACATCACACCAAGCTAATTTTTGTATTTTTAGTAAAGATGGGGTTTCACCATGTTGCCCAGGATGGACTTGATCTCTTGACCTCATGATCCACCTGCCTCAGCCTCCCAAAGTGTTGGGATTACAGGCGTGAGCCACCGCGCCCGGCCCCCAGGCCTCTTTTATAAGGGCACTAGCCCCATTCATGTCGGGGAGCCCACCCAATCACCTCCTAATCAACTCCCAAAGGCCCCACCTCTTTTTTTTTTTTTTTTTTTGAGACGGAGTCTCGCTCTCGCTCTGTCGCCCAGGCTGGATTGCAGTGGCACGATCTGGGCTCACTGCAAGCTCCGCCTCCCGGGTTCACACAATTCTCCTGCCTCAGCCTCCTGAGTAGCTGGGACTACAGGTGCCCGTCACCACGCTCGGCTAATTTTTTGTATTTTTTAGTAGAGACGGGGTTTCACCGTGTTAGCCAGGATGGTCTTGAC